TGTCTTGAAGGATGTCTAGAGCATACTTCCTTTGAGACATAAAAATTCCTTTTCTAGATCGAGAAAATTCAATACCTAGAAAATATTTCAAATTTCCTAAATCTTTGATAAGAAATTTCTGGAGTAAACTAGTCTTGAGATATTGAATTTCTTCGAGATCATTGCCTGTCAACAGAATATCATCAACATAGATTAGAACTGCAGTGAAAGAAGTACCTTTACTCTTAGTAAACAAAGAGTAATCTGCATTGAACTGAGTGTAGCCTGCATTTTGTATAGTTGTAGAAAATATGGAGAACCAATTGCGAGAAGCCTGTTTTAATCCATAAAGAGATTTATGGAGCCGACATACTGTATTCTCCCCCTGTCGGCGAAGACCTGGTGGTAAAGACATATAAACTTCCTCGTCTAGATTACCATGGAGAAAGGCATTTTGAACATCCAACTGATGGGTGAACCATTTTCGAGCAGCAGCAACAGTGAGTAAGCAACGAAGTGTAGTAAGTTTCGCTGTAGGGGAAAATGTTTCTGTGTAATCAATACCTTCAACCTGAGTGTACCCCTTTGCTACTAGTCGAGCTTTATAACGTTCAACAGAACCATCAGAGTTGTATTTAATTTTGTACACCCAACGACAACCAATAGCTTTATGACCAAGTGGTAGAGGAACGAGAGACCATGTATGATTACGTTCCAAAGCTGCAATTTCATCATTCATAGCCTGCTGCCATAACGGGTCGCCAACTGCCTCATCATAGGTTTTAGGTTCTGTCTGGGATGTAATAAGAGCTAGAAAAGCACGTTGAGTAGGAGAAAAACGAGAGAATGAAAGGTAATGATGAAGGGGATACCTGGTGCCAGTGCCGGGACTTGAGCTAGAGGTTAAATGATTGGCTCCAGAAGACATCTCATAATCCTTATGCCAAGCTGGAGGCTGTTTAGTACGAGTAGAACGTCGAAGTGGAGCTGATGTATCAGGTGGGATAGGATTGGAATTAGTGGGCGAATCTGGAGAAGGTGGAGGAGACGACGGAGTAGTAGGTGAAGGGATAGGAGGTGAAGGAGGAGTAGGAGGTGAAGGAATAGGAGGTGAAGGAGGAGTAGGAGGTGAAGGAATAGGAGGTGAAGGTGGAGGATGGATGTTTGAGTAGGATGGATCATGAAGTGGTACAACAGGAGTCGAAGGAGCTAATGTCGAAGTTTGTGAAGCTGATGAAAAAGGAAAATCATCTTCACAAAATTTGACATTACGGCTGATAAAGAATGTGTGAGATTGCATGTCATACAACTTGTAACCTTTATGACCACAAGGATATCCTACGAAAACACAAGGAGTTGCCCTAGGTTCAAATTTTTGCTTAGGATGTACTATAGTTGCATAACATTTACAACCAAAAACTTTAAGATGATGAAATGTAGGTGGTCGTTTGTAGAGTGCTTCAAAGGGTGTCTTGTTAGATAATAATGGTGATGGCGTTCTATTTATAAGATAAACAGCCGTTAAAATGCACTCTCCCCAAAAATTAAGTGGAACCTGTGACTGAAAAAGAAGAGACCTAGCTACATTTAGGATATGGCGATGCTTGCGTTCTACGACTCCATTTTGTTGTGGAGTATAGACACAAGTGCACTGAAATTCAATACCACAAGAAGTAAAGAATGGTTGCAAAGATAGGAACTCAGTCCCATTGTCTGATCGAACTATCTTGATAGTAGTATGAAATTGAGTTTGAACGAATTTAACAAAGTTCATCAACAAATGATGTACTTCTGACTTATGTTGCATTAAAAAAACCCAAGTACATCGAGTAAAATCATCAACAATAGTGAGAAAAAAACGCAAACCAGAATGGGTAGGAATTTTATGTGGTCCCCAAACATCACAATGTATCAGATCAAAAGCAGAATGGGTTGTTATTGAACTTCTTGGGAAAGACAACCTAGTTTGTTTTGCTAACGGGCAGATACTGCAATTATGAGAATAACTCGCATTATTAAGATGCAATTGATCAGCTAGAAATTTAAAACGAGAAAAGGAAGGATGACCTAGGCGTAAATGCCACAAATCAGATGACTGAGATACTTGATGAGCTGAAGACTTGATTGGAGATGAAGAAATATGATAGAGACCTCCAAATTGTTTACCCGAGCCAATCATCTTCCCCGTAGCCAAGTCCTGCATAACACAAGAATCAGGATAGAAGGTGACATAACATTTCAAGTTATTGGTAAGTTTGCTGATCGACATTAGGTTTAAATTGAATGAAGGCACACATAAAACGTTGTTTAATTTAAGGTTAGGGCTAAGGGAAATATTGCCAGTATGTGACACACGTGCTGTCTCTCCATTAGGCAAATTTATTGTAGACATGATGGCAGTCTTTGGTTCAGTCATAACAGAAGATTTTGATACTATATGATCCGTAGCTCTACTATCGAGAATCCATGAATTAGAACTCGCAGAGTTAATAGATAATGTAGATATGGGAAACAAACCTGCAACATTGATGTGATTGTCAGAATTACCAGAAGGGTGATGATTGATTGCAGATAAGGCTTGTGCTATCTGTCGTAATTGCTCAGAAGAAAAATTTGGAATGGAATTAGGTGACTGTTCTTCTGTATTCAACTGTGAAACATCGGCCATATTTGCAGATGATCGATATCCACGGTTATTGTGTTGATTGTCTTGTCTTGTCCTTCCAGAATTATTTTTCTGTCGACACCGATCTTCTGTATGGCCCCTTCTATCACAAAACTTACAGTGAAACTTAAGAATTCGACACTCATTAATTCTATGACCACTTTTATTGCAGTGTTCACACAATTTGTCCTTGGCGAATTTTGAATATATTGTTTTCTTTTGCACTGCTGATGCAATCGAGATTTTCTCAGTAGGTTCGGAAGTTACCTGACGCTACATCTCTTCTTGTACAAGTAATGAATAGGCTTGCCTCACATTAGGTAATGGAGACATCATCAATATGTTAGATCTCACCGTTTTATAAGACTGATTGAGCCCCATGAGCAATTGCATCAACTTGTCTTCTTCGCGTTGATCAATATGTATTTGACGTTGATTACAGGTAAATGGTGTGCGGTACGCTTCCAGTTCATCCCAGAGTGCTTTGAGCTTGGTGAAATATGTTGACAGTGCCATGGTTCCTTGTGACATCGTTGCTATCGAGTTTTGTATTTGAAAAATTGCTGGAGCATTCTTTTGTGAGAATTGATCGTGAAGATCAACCCACACTTGATGAGCTGTCTTGGCGTGAATAATGCCTTTAGCGATATCTGCTTCAACGGAATGAGTTAACCAAGATATTATCATACTGTTGCACTGATTCCAGAGTTCGAATTCGGTTGAATTTGCATCTTGGGACGGTTCCTCAATTGTGCCATCAATGAAGCCAATTTTCTTCTTGGCAATAAGAGCATGCATAACTGATTTCCTCCAGGATTGATAATTTGCTCCATTTAATTTGATTGGAACAAGTGAATATCCTGGCTGATCAGAGTGATGAATATAGTACGGATGTGTTAAATCAACATCCGAAATTTCGAAGCTAGATTTGGCTGATTCCGCCATAAAGGAAATTTTGATATTTAAGAACACCAAGATCGGTGCTCTGATACCATGTTAAGAATGAGAAATAGAAATAGAAATAGAATTGGGATCGAAAGTATGATCTTCATTCAGGTTTACACGTTTAAATAGGATACAAACTATCAACTAATACCTAAAAATAGAAAAATATATATGTAATTAAATCTGGTAAATAAATAAAATATACTGTTAATCAAATCTATACTAACAGCTTCCTAAATATCTAAGATATATTCTAACTAATTATCACGGCAAAATATCCTCTTAATAAGGACTCAGCAGGAAACTAAGCATTGGAACTTACAAGAACTCACTACCGGCGATCTTCGATTCAGCATCTCCAAGACATAGAAGCACAACCGGTTCCCCCTAATCGATCCGATAAGCTCCCTTCCAAAGTAAATAATTCAAAAACCAAAAACACGAAAACTTTCCACGAATTCAAAAGAAAACAATAAAAAAACAGAGTTTAATCATTACCACTCCAAGGTTGATTTTGTTCGTGCATGGATCGGCCATGAAAGCCTCCGTAGCACCGAAGATCGGATCCTTAGGAGCCGGTTTCACATGATCAAACCATCCGAAACTCAAAGCCCTCGAAGTTGAAGTTTAAATTCATTGTTGGGCCGGTCTTTTGGACCGATCTAGTGGTTGCCGAATATTGGAGATATAATAAAATTATTATTATTATTTTTTTTTTTTAAAGTTATGAAATTAATAATTTATTTACGAAACTAATAATATTTTGAAATTAGTAACGTATAATTCTTATAGTAAGGTATGGAACCTACTCTTATAACATAAAAATGCATTTACTCTAATTAATTTATTGATTTATATATCTAAAAGAAAATTTATTAAATATCAATAATACTTTTACAATAAATATTAAAATTCAATAACTAAATTAAACATACTACAATTAAAATATTATAAACAAAAATTTAAATACTAAATTATTAGTTTTATGGAAATATATATATATAAAATCGATGGTATATTATTATTGAGCTATGCTCACATTTACGTCTATAGAGTAGTTTTGTATGTGACTTTAAAGACAATTACGTAATGATTATTTTTTAGTTAAACCCTAAAAAAAAAAACATTGTGGATTGAAATCAACAATCGATTGCTCGAATGGCTTCCTTCAATACTTTAAGGTTTATGGGCTACTCTGAATCAACTTTGATCATTATGGACCGGTTCCAAGATCTGACCCTAAAAGGCTGACTTAATTTTAACACCGAGTATGGTAACAATGAAAACGACTCTTTCTTCGGTAAGATTATACGAACAAATATTTGAACCAAAATATTGTACAAATAAGATAATACTTACACTCGGAGAAAAAAAATACTGGTAAGAAAATTGACATTTCGAGTACGAATACATTGATAATTTAAACAATATTTCTTGACAAAATCTTACGTTTTTTTTAGTTACGTACGTCATGATATGTATATCATCGATTAGAGATCGTGCTTAGTAAAAACACGAACTCTGAATCGCGTCTAGAAGAAACACGAACTACGAATAAAGTATACGTGAATCATGTCTGCCCGTTACTTTCACTCCATTCCTTGATTGCTTGCTTTACTGCTCTTTTCACCACTCGGGGCTTTACGATTTTTGTATCTTCATTCTGCACAACAAAACAAAGCGAATTTGAAGTTTTAATCGTTGGGTTATGTTCATGTCAGCAAGCTTAAGATACGGAACTCGAACCTCTTCCCCGACTGCTTGGAGTTGGAAACAATCGGAACAAGACACGTTGGCATCGAGGACTTCGAGTCCCAATTTCTCGAAGGCTTGTAGAATCCGAACTAACAATCCAGGCGAATTCTTTTCTAAATATACGTTTATGAGAAATCCTCTCACTAAACTCTCGACATTCACCACCTGCACGTTTGTAGAGTCAATTCACCGATAGGTACAACCGAACGTGGCGCTCGGGAAAAATAGTTGAAAATCTCGAGTAAAAAAGCATGAAATTCAAAGGGAAAAGTGAGTTAAGAGAAAAGTACAGCACTAGAGCTTGTGGATGCATCAAATTCTGTGGGCTTCTCATGATTCATTGAGGAAGATGCTGCTGCTTTCTTTCGCTCTCTCGAACCCATTTCAGAGCCGCCGTCCGCCATGTCTCCTCCACTCGCCGGCCACGCGCCACCAGAGGCTTTTGCTTTCTTTCTCTTGATGATCAGCTCTTGCAAAAAATGCAGACCACGAGTTCCTCTTCATTTATATTTGCATTTTCTATATATATATATATATATATATATAATTTTTATTTTATTTTATTTTTTTCCTTTTGCACGAGTGTTTCTGTTTTCGCTTAGGAAATTCAATTTTAATATTCGAGTTTTATAAGATTTTAGTTATTAATGTAACATTTATTGTAAATAAGTATAATTTTTTAAAATAATTATAAAAAAATATATCTCGAACATAGAGAGTTGCATTAGGTTGTGAATTCTGTTTGGATTACTTGAGTTGATCCAAATGATTTTCTCAACCCAACTCGGGTATACTCCTAAGTCGTGATAGTATATTTTAAAAGTTAAATAACAAATTTAGTTTCTAAATTTTTTACGGTTTTATCTTATTTACGTGAACTTTCAATTTTATGATAAATAAGTTTTTAACGTCTCCAATAGCTAGTTCAATTTTCAATTTTGCATACCATACGTCTAATTGACATTTGTAAAATGTTTCTAGCTTATTCGACACGAGTTTAATAGTTTAGGATCTCAATTTGATGTCTAATAAAATAAAATTAGTTAATTTATTAAAAAAAATGAATGTTTAAAAATTTATCAAACAGATACAAAATTAATTTAGAATCTCTAATTCATATAATTTTAAATATTTAATTTTAGTCCTTAAATTTTGAAATAAAACTTAAAATAAATTATGAGTTAGTTTATTGTTAATTTTTTAAAATAAAATTTAGTATCTAAAATTTAAAAAATATATTCAGTTTTTTTTCTTTAGTAGAAATTATTATTATTATTATTATTATTATGATTGAAGTAATTTCAATAAAAATGAATTTATTAGAGACTAATTTTAAATCATACCAAAATTAAAATTAAAATATATTAAAAATATTAATTTAATCCATTTAAAAATGGTAAGGTGATTTTGAACCATAGGGAGAGAAAATAGAAGAGAGAGAGGATTTTCGGTCAGTTTGGGCAGGGAGAGGTCGGGGGATTGACAGCTAAATACCATTTGAACAAACAAACACCAAACTCCTCGTCACGTGCAGATTCCTCCACTGAACACCTTTGGCTTCGGTCCAAAATTCCAACTCTCCTTTGGCACGTGCCCATTTTCACGGCTTTTGTTACAATTGTACTTTTCTTATAAGCGGACTTTACGATTACGCGACTCACTTCCAATATCGAGCAAATCAAGCCAATTCGAATTTGCTCGTCTAGGATTGGTCAACTTATGCTCAAGCCCCTGAACTCATTTTGAGAAGAAGGAGAAAACAAAGATTCTCCTATAATATATTTTGAGATGATTCAGCTCGGGCAAACTTAGACATGATTTTGTCTCATACAAAATTTGAGTGGGAGGAGTTGATAACTAGTAGCAACCACTGTGACTATAGAACATGCCCTGTACCAGCATGACCATGATCCCCTTGAAATTTGAAAATAATCCTTTTCAAGTAATTTATAATGTTTTAATTATGGGGATATATTTAAATTTTAAAGAGAATATAGTAAGTGAAACTTTTTTATTGCCTCGTTGGCTTCGAGTGAAGTACTCAACCCAAAAAAATAATTTTAAGGTTTTAAGGTGAGTTAGATATTCAAGAGCATTTTCGTCGGTTGTTCTTCCACTGTCTGTATGGTGGAAGAGACGTTGAGATGAATCCGTTGTAGTTATTGTGGGGAATACTCCTCTTTCCTAGCCGAATTAGCTAACTTCAACTTAAGACGATTCTAACGATCCCTTTTGACATGATCATACTATCTATTTCTCGCTTTTAAGAGTGAAGACTATCTCCACAAACCAACACAGTTCTTACAACATGTTTTGTCCTCACTCACATGCATCTTGCGAATGCAAGTCACCCAACGTGCAATTGCGCTCAACAAATCACGTTTAATTATGAAGTTCCTATGATTGAGTCACTGAAAAAGTAGTTATTTTAGGTATTTCTTAGTTATCCTATCCTTACGTACCCTTTTTTACTAACCTTTTTTTACTTGAGTGTCACACCCGATGATTTTAATCGATGTAAATGTTTCATTGAGATATATAGTCGAACGTTTTTGGTATTTTTAAAAAAATAACAAATAATAAAATAACTCGAAACCCAGCTGTCTTGATAGCACACAAACAAACCGCATATGTACCCACCTATTCACCTGTAGTGTACCCATTAATCATCACAACCAAACAATTTCCCATCCCAAAACAAAATTTTGACTTACTTCCAAACTTATTTCTTTTTCCCTCCTCTCTATACACTCTCATAGCCTACAACAAACCCCTACATCCTCCTACTTTAAGCAATGGACTCTTTTGTCCCTCGACCTCAAAAATACATTCGATCGTGTTGGACTGATTGTGAGAGATCAACGTATCGAACCGATTCCCTGATCCATATTCATGAACTGAATTGAATCCAGAGAAATGAAAATGACGACCTTGAAGTAAGTCAAGCTTTCTAGCAATGTCCGACAGACCAAGGACACAGAAGTCTTTTCCGTCCCTATCCCCGTTACCTATTTCAATCTCCATCTCTGTAACTTTTTTCCTCTTTTATATATTTTATAAAAACTATTCATTTTTAATCGATAATTTCACACATAAAATTTGGTGTGGTGGGGACCGGGACAAACAATATAATCTACCTCCTCAATCTGAAATCTCTCTGTATATTTTATAAAAACTATTCATTTTTAATCGATAATTTCACACAAAGTTTGGTGTTGTGGGGACCGGGACAGACAATATAATCTACATCCTCAATCTAAACTCTCTCTCCAGTCCCTCGTTTTTCTATTTAAACAAAAATTCTCTATCTAGTTTGAGACAGGGGACCTGTATGACTGCTTCTCACAATTAAATAGATAGATACTCGTATTATGTGGTTTTTTTATTTACTAACTTATTTCAACCCTTTCTCTTCTTACCTCCCTCAAAATATATAATCTTCTCTTCCGTAAGAATTAATTTGAATCAAAATGGAATAGTATAAGGGACCATGAAATAAATTAATATATTAACATTCTATTATATAATTAAAAAATTGATAAAATAATTGAAACTATATATTAAAAATTGATAGCCATATAATATATAGTTTAATATATAGTAGAAAAATGTAGAGTAGGGCCAAAGAATGGAATTGAATTTTACAATAATAACAAGATTTTAGTGTGTATTAGAGTTTGATTTATTTGAGTAGGGTAAATAGAGATGTTCACGAGATAGTGCAGGACGAGAAAGCCTTCTTCGTCCCCATCTTTGCTTCCTACTTCAATTCTCATCCTCATGAAACTCTCGTTCATTTTTGCAAAGATCGGAGCAGAGATTCTCCACATGAATTTACGAGCATGTGGGAAGAAATATTAATTTTAAAGATTTTTTTAATGAATAATTTTTATTTTTAAATATATTTTTATTAAAAAATATAAAAATATTCTCTCTATATATATATATATTGGTGCAGAGAGACGTGGGGGATTTAACAAGGACGGGATGGAGAATGTAATCCTCATTCCTTTTCCTCGTTATTCTATTTAAACAAGGATTATCCACTCTGTTTCGAGACAGTTCCCACAGATTACATAGACATCTCTAAATTTTATTTTATTTAATAGACGCAAACGAGAGATATTGATTCATGAGGAGAAATTTTAGAAACCAAAAATAAATTTTATTTTATTTATTTTTAATTCAATAATACATGAAAATGAATATTCAAATCTTTTTGCCGCGATACCGAGAGGACCAAAATTTTTGCAGTGAGACTGAGAGAACGAGATCAAATAGATCATTCTTAGTCATAACTTTCACTTATGCAGATCATTAATTATATATTATATGATTTTCTTGTCCGTTAGAGAATGTTTTTTTGCATTAAAAAGGGGAATTACCTTTTAAAGGGGTTATTTAGAGTCAAAATTAAAAATTTAAATAAATAAATTAGAGAGAAGAAAAAAAAAACAAATTTAAAATTAATATAAATAGTATTTTAAATTGGAAATATGTGTCGTGATATTCCTTTTATTCATATAAATATTATTATTCATTAAAACAATGGGAAAATTCTAAACAAATAATGCTACACCTAAAAATCGGTGGACATTAATAAACTCCAAATTGATGGATATAAATATTAAAATTTCCTATCTTAATTATTAAAAATTTATATTTTCATATTTTAATTTTTTTAAAAATAAAATGTCTATTAATAAAATTTGAATTTTAGAAAGAAAGTGAACTATTTTCTAAAAAATTTAAGTTATAATCCGTTGTAACAATGACTAAAATACCCTCATACTACTTTGTTCGTCGGCAACTACCACTGACAATAACTGACTCCAATCACATTGATGGATGTAAGTTACTCATAGGCGGCAACCGCTGACAACCATAGTCAATGACCAACTCTAGTGACCAACTCCGACAAAATCTACTAAACAAAATTGGTACTGGTTTGTGGGGATAAGGTGTCGAATCCAGATTCTAAATCTTGATCTGAATCTTGAGTTGGACATGAATCGTTACGAGGTCATATGATTTTAAATACAAACTTGAACTTGTATGTTTATAGTGGTTACCTCGTTTTAGTATGATATAATATTCTTATATGTTCGGCCGACATAAAATTTATAACTCAATTCGACTCATATTTCAATTTTTAAGCTAACAACACGACCACAAGGCCTTGTCCAATTACCTAGACTTAATAATCGGCCTAATACTTTCCCCTATTCCAAATCTCTTTCCGTATTAAATTTTATTATAACACCTCAATCAAGTCTTATCGTATTTTTGTTGATTCCTACGAATACACTCAAAGAGAAATTTAAAATGGATAATTAACATGCTCGAAAAAATTTGCTTGCTCGGTTTCACCCGTTCCTCTGGCTTAAATTTCACAAAATTACACACTTGGGTCCTAAATCAAGTAAAAAAAAAAAAGAAATCAATGAAAACAAATTGAAAATCGGACTTGAAATGCTAAAAAAGTGGCTCAAAACGATGGGGTTCAAGGCATATGATTCAGTTGAATCGACTACATAATTGTAACGCACCGTTGGGTTTAATTATATATATATATATATATATATATATATATATATATATATATATATATATATGTGTGTGTGTTAAAATAAAAATAACAAAATAAAGAAAAGAAAAAGAAAAAAAAACTGACCACCTCCCTTAATCTCTCTGTCCATCCCCTAAAATACCTCCTTCATTTAGTATCAATAATTTAGCGGAAAAAAAAAACAGAAATGGAAAGAAAATATTTTTCTGGAGTAAAAAAAAATGCAGATAATGGAGAGATGTTATACAATAATGAAGAGATCGGGAAGGAAGGCAGATAATGGAGAGATGGACAGAGAAAGGGAGATGTCATTTGAAAAGGTTAGTAGTCAGATTTACCTTTTCTTTCTACGATATTAGCAATTATTTAGATCTGAGTTAGAAATTTAGAAAATTATGGGAATGATCTGAATTAGAAATTATCTATCCTAGCTAGAGTCCATTAAAATTGGGCAATAGAAAATTATCTGAATCTGAATTAGAAATTATTTATCCTAGCTACAGTCCATTAAAATTGGTCTAAGAATAGATAGATAAGAAAGAGAGGAAGATAGGGAAAAGAAAGATCTGGAAGACATATTCAAATAAAAAAAGAACGAAGATTTGGAATACAGGAATAGATAGATAAGAAAGAGAGGAAGATGGGGAAAGGAAAGATCTGGAAGACATATTCAAATAAAAAAAGAACGAAGATTTGGAATACAGGAATAGATAGATAAGAAAGAGAGGAAGATAGGGAAAAGAAAGATCTGGAAGACATATTCAAATAAAAAAAAGAACAAGATTTGGAATACAGATGAAAATGAAGATAGGAAAAAGAAAGATCTGGAAGACATTCAAATAAATAAATAAAAAAAAAATTTAAAAAACAGGATGAAAAGGAAGATCTGTAAAACATATTCAAATAAAAAAAAATTAAGATTTGGGAATAGTAAAGCCAAAGAAAATTTGGAAATAGAATTAAACGATGTGAGAATTAAATTTAGATATGGGAGTAGATACATGGAGAGAGAGGAGTAGATACATGGAGAGAGAAGAACGTTAGATTTGGAATAGTAAAGCCAAAGAAAAAAAAAATAGAATTAAACTGGTAAACAGAATTAAACTATTTAGATATAGAAGTAAAATTGCTTGAAATAATTAGATATGGAGATAGAATTGAACTACTCAAAATAATTAGAGTTTAAAGAAAAAAAAAACAAAAGAGAGAAGATTTTATAAAAGAAAAGAAAATTAGAATGGGTTGAGCAAGTACTGTAAACAGAAGTAAAATATAACGAGAAATAAGTGAGGGAAAGAAAATGGAAAATATGAGTAATTATTATATTTGTATCTATAGAATATAACATTAAATGTTGAATTATACAAACCACTTGAAATATTAATAATATTGATATATTATTAATTTAAGTTTTAAGTTTTATTATCCTATATAATTTAGAAACAATGAAAATATGGAATTCGATTTTTATTGAGACCGTTTAGAGTCGTATTTCACACGGTTAGTTGGATTATTAATTAAAATGTGAAATACTAACAAAAGGTGACGAACGATGCGAAAGGGAGGAAACATTGGCAACATTTGGTGTAGTTCTGGAGGAACGGGAGCTTACGTTAAATAAATTAGGGAATACTTCGGTTAAGGCCAACCAGGTAAGTGGCCTTACTATAGGATAGGCTAAAAATTGTATGAGGTACGATGTTGTATGAACCATGTCGTACAATGCTGTATATGAGTTATGATGATGTATGACTTATGATGATGTGTGAGTTATGATACCTGATGATGTGCTCAGTATATATATATTTTGATGAATGTCGTACTTGATATGTTTGATACACTTTGTGGCAATATGATGAGTATGATGATTGTGTGACGTTTACCTTAATATGATGATGTTTTCCATATTGAGCATATTATATGATGATGAGTGTCATATTGCACCATGTCGATCGACATAGGACATAACCCTAAGAGCGTGAAAATGATATTAATATAAATATCCACGAGTATGTGTTACCTAGAGTAACAAAGAGATGAGACTAGAGGGTTGTGTCAAAGGAGACATTATGATGGATTTAGAGGGACCTCATGCATTTGTATGTTCATAAGCACAGGGCTACTTCTCCTAGAGATGATGAGTGCAGACGCGCACCGTATGATGAGCGCATATGCGCACAGGTGCGAAAGCACACAGATGAGGGTGTTCATGAGGTGCATGACACTATGGGGTTCCGCTGACCTCCGGACGTCGCTACAGATTAGCTTGACCAGAGGGTCCAGGGGGTGTGCGAGCACCCTGGGGATTCACACTCGCACGTGTGAGTCTTGTGTAGGGAAGTACTACACATCCAATTTGTCCGAGACTGGAGGCCACCCCTAAGATGCTTAGAGATAGGTCCCTAAATCATGATTGCATGTGTTTGCATTTGCATGGCCCCCTATAGTGGGGCCACTTACGGAGTATTCTTTGAAATACTCAGGTCGTGTGCCACATCATTTTTCAGGTAAAGGCAAGGCGCACTTGTACGGAGGACGGCGACATCGCGAGCAGAGACTGTGGCACGTGCATATGGTAGACTCATATTTAAATTTCTAGTCTTTAAGGTAAAATAGGTTGTTTTGCATTTCATTGTTTTAAATTATTTTGTATTTGTTTTTGTTTTCTCTAAATTTCAGTATTTCATATTTAAACACGTAAGACCGTGGCTGTGTTTTCCAGAGAAGAAGTTGTTTTAAACGTTTTTTGAAGTTTACGTTATGAATTATGTTCATGTAAGAGTTATATTTCCGCATTATAAATGAGCATAAGACGTTAGTAGCGACTCTGAGTATGTGAAAATTTAGGGTCGTTACAATAATCATCTTCTACCCTTGGACACAATAGAAACACGTGTGGTTGGCTCTGATTGTCTGATTTTGCTCTCAATTCACAAATTCTAGGTCTCGATTGAAGTTAGTTTCTACACCAAAATTCAAGATCTATTCAACTTGAACACGTTTGTACTAAAGTTAGCAAGGTAAGGAAAAAACGACATTCTAAGTCACTAGTTCATCAAGCTTATCCAAAATTTCATCACTTTTATAAGTTGTTGGATTCTCCGATATGTTGGATTTTTCAACCAATCAACCGTCACCATCACATCAATCAACCATGGATCATGGTCACCATCACATCAATCAACCATGGATCATGGACTAAAAATAATAATCAGACTTAGCTACAATTTGAGTAACCAAAAACTCAAAATTTAGTTGATTAGGTTGGTGGTCCGAGTAATCTAAATAAAATCCACAACCGAACTCAACCCTCTATTTCTAGTTAGGTGGTCGGGTTATTCTTTTTTTTCAAAAAAAAAAAAAATCTACTAATCCACGATACATGTTATATTAATAACTAAAATCTCATAAAATTCAAATATTAAACATTCACCAATCACAGCTCGTCACTAATTTAGGTACAAAATATTCTTAATATTCATATTAATCTTAAAAGTAGGGAGGGTAGAATTGGATTGCAACCCTATTTTCGGGTTTGTCGTGTTGACTGGACATAAAAAACGTCAACCGTGAACCAACCAGTTTTTCTAAAAATTCACCTCAACTCAACGTTTATAGTTTGGGCTAGATAATCCTTATTAATAATTTTATCAACGATTTTTTTATAAATGTATTAATTTATAGTCTATTAGATAAACCCTAAATTGTGAAAGTTAATCATTTTAAGCTCTCAATTTAAAAAACATTCCGATATTAATTTAGAAATTTTATTTATTTAAATTGGAAGGTTTTTTTTTTTTTTTTTTTTTTCTAAGAAACAAATTTGACTTCAATTCTTAAGAAAACATTGAATATTTAAAATTCCGATTAGGAAGAGAATTTAGTGATCGAATCGACTTTCAATTGAAAACGTCTCAGTTCATCGCAGGAGATGGTCACTCGCAGCTTTGAAAATGGCAGAAATCATTACTCCTTCCACTTCCCGGTGCAGTCTCGTCGCCCAACTCGGCGTCCGCTGGAACTTGCGGATTAGGCTTACCAAGTAAATTCTCCTCCGACTTTTGGAGTCGCTCTCAAAATTTTGAAACCTATAAGCATCTCTGTAGCATTCAATTTTGACGATGTTGTTGATCCGAACAGTCCCCGCCTCGCTACCACCGTGGTCGAATCTTCTTCGTCGGCTTTTGTTCGCCGAGTCTCGATTGCTTCAGTTTCAGCGGGTGGATTCATTTGGCAGTTCGGTAAGTAAGCGAGTGAGTGTTTAAGTTGTAATAACTCAGTGTTGTGTTGTGTTCTGTTCTGTTAATAATCGAGGAAGTATTGAGCCTTTTAGTCCCTCCGATTTCTTTATGAATACGAATCTCTGGTTAATTGCATAGTTCAACTGTAATTTGAGACTGGTAATCTATTCAGAATCAACTTAAACACTTCTCTTTTAATCTCTTGTCTATTGTCTTGTTCCACCGTGTTTCTCGTTAATTGGATTTTGAATGCAATTTGATTTCGTAATTCTTCAGGCGTTACCTGATTCATCATGTTATGGTAGTTCTTGTGGCGGCAATGAGGAATGTTTGCATAATAGAGATCATAATTCGAATGTGATAATGATAGGAGAGATTCCTGTGAATCTAAATCGTAAAGGAAATGAACAGGAATCCTTGTCTCGGTTGTCTGTTGGTAAATGTGATGATTTCAAGTTGAGAAGCGATCAAAAAGGGATTCCTGCTAATATACCGAGTTCATACCATGATGATGAGTTTCCTCCTGTTCCTAGACAAAATACCAAAAGGAGAAGCCGGATAGATTTAGGATCGGAAAGAAGGTTGAAGAACAGTACAAGCTCATCACAAATGGAGAGGAATGAACCATTTAGTTTCAAGAAACATCGGTCTCCGGATATTGGTTCCAAAAATTCTCTTGCCACTGCCAATTTGCCTCCCATTGAATCTTTCGATATATGCTTTCCTGAAAGAAGAGGTAAATCAAAACCCAGATATTCTTGGCAGTCTAAGGATAGGGACACTATGAAAGTAATGGAGCATGCTGATGAAGCTACAAATGGTATTGTGATGAGGCCTGGAATGGTTTTACTGAAGCATTACATTCCTCTACATGAACAGGTACTTCCATGCTTAGGTTGTAAGTAATTTTATGAACTAGAATCACACTGTTCTTATAGATGAGAACAGGCATTTTGTTGCCTTAGATCATTGCAATTGTTCGTCTTCAACGAAGAACTCCTAGTAAGCGTGAATCATAAGCTCGCGTTGACTATGTCCTTGTCCTTTGTACATACCGGCCATCGCTCCTACCGATTGAATGGTCTGGTGAAGTGTTCGGATCGCGGCGATGTGGGCGGTTCGCTGCCTGCAACGTTGTGAGAAGGCCACTAAACCTAATCATTTAGAGGAAGGATTAGTCGTGAAGTCCCAAATTGATAATGGACATTTACCTGTCCTAATAATTCAAACAACTTGATTTCTCGTAATTATAAAATTTCCAATGTTATCCATTGTTAAGGAGATGCCCTGTAGTTTCATCTCTTTGCTGCCTTGTGTTCTTTATACTTTATGGTTTTCCATATGAGTGTTAGGACTTGGTATCTAGGGTTTCGTTTTTCTTGTTGCAGGTTAATATTGTGAAAACTATTCAAAAACTTGGTCTTGGCCCAGGGGGATTTTACCAGCCTGGTTATAAAGATGGTGCAAAACTCCGGCTTCAGATGATGTGTCTTGGATTGGACTGGGATCCTCAGACGAGGAAATATGCTCGTAAACGGGTTGCTGATGGTAATAAACCTCCAGATTTACCTCCTGAATTTGCAATTCTGGTTGGGAAAGCACTTAACGATGCACATGCCTTGATCAAGAACAATGGCGACACGAATAACATAGAAGACATACTTCCAACAATGTCTCCTGACATATGCATTGTGAATTTCTACTCAACGAGTGGAAGACTGGGTCTGCATCAGGTATTTGCACTAATTCCATCTTCACATTTTTTTTTTGTTTGTTTGTTAGAAATCACAAATCTCCACAGTGATATCATAGTGTCCATTTTGAGCATAAGCTTTCGTTGCCTTGCTTTTAGTTTTTCCAAAAGGCCTCGTACCAATGAAGATATATTCCTTATAAATCCATGATCAACCCCTTAATTAGCCGGTGTTGGACTCCTCTTCGAACAATCCTCCCCGCGAATAGAGTACACCATAGAGCCTCCTCTAAGGCCTATGTTGCCCTCGAACAACCTCTCCTTAATCAAGGTTCGGCTCCTTCTCTGAATCACTCGAACAAAGTACACCCTTTGTTCGACACTTGAGTCACTTTTGACTACACTTTCGAAGCTCACTTCTTCTTTGTTCAACATTTGAGGATTTTGTTGACATAACTAAGTTAAGGGCATGACTCTAATACCATATTTGTAATCACGAATCTCCACAATGGTACGTATTGTTCACTTTGAGCATAAGCTATCATGGTTTGCTTTTGGTTTCCCCAAAAGACTAAGGAAGATGTATTCCTTACTTATAAGCCCATGATCCACCCCTTAATCAGCCGATGTGGGACTCTTCTCCCAACAATCCTCAACAATTTTTATTTCATATGATAAACTTTTTCTAACCAGTCTAATTCATGCAGGATCGTGATGAAAGCAGAGAGAGTCTGGTCGGCGGACTACCTGTTGTTTCCTTTTCTTTGGGCAATTCAGCAGAGTTCTTGTATGGAGATCAAAGAGATGTCGATAAAGCAGGGAAGATTATACTGGAATCAGGTGATGTTCTAATTTTTGGTGGAGAATCTAGGCATATATTTCATGGAGTATCTTCAATCATACCTAAATCGACGCCTAAGTTTCTGCTTGATCATACTGGTCTTCGTCCTGGGCGTCTAAATCTTACATTTAGAAAGTACTAAAACACAGCTGTTCCTTGTTTGTCCTGTACAAATGAATAGCTGTTTTATTTATTAATTAGATGATTATCTAAGTGGGATATTATAATTCTAGTTTGTAACTATTCTTGGTTTCTGATTTGTCTTTAGGATACCTTTTCTGTCTTCCACAATGCCTTTCCCATGAACATCTTGTAGTTATACAAGCGAGTATTCTTGACTTTCGTTAATGTTGTTTCATGGGGTGTTGATTTGACCAATGGTAGACGGACAACGGTTTGGATTGAGTATAGAGATACAATAAAAATGATCTAGGGTGTGATCGGTTACTCGTCGATTAGGCCTCGGAGTCCTTTTTTTTCTCCAATTTACCTCTACAAAAAATTAAAAGACTGAATGCATGTTGATTTCTTTGCCTCCAACGAATAGGGCTCAATAGTTCACATTGTTGATTGGTGGCAATTCAAGAGACAACCGAGCTAACGGGAAATTTTTTTCAATTGGATCCTAATTGTCCAATTGAGAAGTTTTGTCTAAGTCTTCTACTTGGATGAAGTAACCTAACTTGAAGTCTTGTTTGATTTTGTTCTTCTCTTTCCTCTTTTCTTAATTAAGTCCAACTAAACATAGAAGTGCATAGAAGTGCATGATTCAAGTTTGTAACAAGTACTTGACTTTGTTTATGAGTTGTTATGTAATCTTTAGAGCAATTCAATTTGTGATCGAATCTACTCCACGTGTAAAGATCAAGGATCTCTAGTTCATTAGAGAATCGAAAAAGAAACATTAGATGCAAATTACCGTAATAATTTAAAAGAATTTTGAGAGAAATCAAAAAGAAAAAAAATAAGTTAATAAAAAAATTCAAACTCTCCATCCAAAATGAAGAATTGTTAGATCATAACTTAAAGAAAAAAGATAATCTATATTTATCAAACGATTTTTTAAATTTTTTTTTAGAAGATTAAAAGTATTAATGCTACTTTTAAAATTTAATAACATCTTTTAAACGTGATACTAACGATTTCATTCATATACTAATCGTAAATAGATTTTCAAATTTTTTAAGTTCGACAATATGAATAAAGCTTTTGAATGGTTAAAATTATTTTTGAACTTTTAACTGGTTTTAAAATATTAATCAAAATTTTAAAACTGTAAAGATATTATTGAAACAAATTACTAACATTTTTTCTCTAAAATTAACCTGAATTATTTTTTAACCTTTTTCTAAGTTATAGGGTATTTATTGAAACTTTTAAAAATTTTAAAATTTTTTCAAAACACATATTTTTATTAATTTTGTCTTTTGTAGTTAAAACTTTTGTCTGTGCATTTATTTTGGAGTTGGATTTGATTACGACTTTAGTATCACTTATAACTCGAGTTTGTTCTCTTGTTCAAATTTATCGGTAACATATTTGATTAAGTCTTAATATATATTTATTTAGTAAATTCATAATTAAGTATAAAGTTAAACATCCCTCTCCAAAAAGAAAAAAAATAAAAAAGTTTATTTAAATGTTTTGTTTAAGATATTTGAGAATAAGATATCGAAAAATAAGATGCCATAACTGTATTTAATGTTGTCAAATTTTATATAAATAAATAATATTTTGATTTGATTCTCCCACAAATTTATTGCATAAATTTTTTTGGTTAGTTATTTAAGATTTGAATGTTGAGGATTATTAAGGTGAGTCTCCCATCCGTTAATTTAGTGGAAGATCATGGGTTTATAAGTGAGGAATACTATCCCGATTAGACGTTTTAGGGAAGCCCAAAACAAAGTCCCGATAACTTATGCTCAAAGTAGACAACATCATATTATTGTGTTGTGGTGTCTCAAAATCCCATTTACATCAAAATTATAAAAGAACATGAAATATGCAAATATTAAGGGATAATCACATCATTATAATCGTCAAAATTTGTTTAGAAGAATCAAATGTTAGGGCAAGTGAATTGGATGCTAGTTCATGAACTACAATCATATTTGAAATAAAAAAGAAGAGAATATCGCTAACATGCAATTTAAATTTTTCACTCATCACTAATTCATGACAATTCATGACATATTGTTGTAGGTCACATGATTTTCATTCAAATAATAATTTTGAAACGAAAGATGAAAAATAATTCTTAAACTTCAAAAGAAGTAATCATCAAACTCAATTTGATAACTACTCCGTGTTGTTCCACGGTTCCATTTTCTTTGTTTTGATTTGAGAAACTGCTTTTGTTTTCAAAATTTGATTACAAATTTAAATGTTCAACCCGGAAAAATGAGTAGAAGAATTGTAAGAAAACACACCGAAAATGAACTAAAATGGAAGAAGATTTCAAGTCATTGCCGAAAACGGACTTAAACCTGTTTCTGTTCATCTCTGATTCATGTGTCGACGCCAAACATTATTTCCGAAAATACAACACGAATCTGAAATTACTTCAACTTCTTAAATCGAAGTCACTTCAGAAAACCACAATCGATTCCATCAGATCACACACACCATTTCGACCTAACTTTCCATGGATTTCAAGAGAGAGAGAGAAGGAGAGAGGCAAACAAGCACAAAACAGAAAACGAAAGAAAACGAAAATCCTCCTGAAATTTGTTGAAAGTTAAATCAAATCGAAATCATCGAGAAGAGAAAACGAAACAGAGTCGCTGATCATGATATTAATTAAGAATCAACGATTCTGGCGAATGATCATCAATGACGTCGGAGAGTACCTATCGGCGACGGAAACGGAAACCTCGGGGGAAAGCGAGCGGGAAAATCGGATGGCGGAGGCGGCGAGGGCGATGAGATCGATTATGAAGAGCGAAACGTCACGGAACACGAGCGATGGCTTTCTGAGAGCCACACACATCAATATCGGGATCGTATTCCCAAATCTCGAAGACGACATTCCTCTTCTGCACCGCAACCCTTCACTTCCACTTCTCTCTCTCTCTCTCTCTCTCTCTCTCTCTCTCTCTCTCTCTCTCTCTCAGATGTTTTTAACTTTTTCAAGTTCTTTTCTAATTCATTCTACTTGGCGTCAATTCCAGGTCCTCAAACCAGTGTTTAATTACCACTCTACCCTTCTCCATTAATTTTTTTTTCGATTTTCCAATTTTTTTTAGAAGAGAGATAAATTAAAATTAATTGTTGAATAATCTTTTTTATAATTAACAAATTTTTATTATTTTTCAATGTTTTTATAGGAGTGTTCGTATGATCCGATTATCGACTGATTCGTTCGAACTACCTAACTCAAACCATAAATGTTAGGTTGGGTGAGATTTTTTCCGCTTTGGATTAGGTTGGATTTTTTAGAAATTAAAAAATTTAATGTCCGTTTGCGGGTTGATATTCTTTTGATCGGGTCAACCAATCAACTCGAAAATAGAGTACAGTCCAACACAACTCTACTATAAGATTACTACGAAGATTAAAAATATTTGACGTATGTAACTAATGTTAGTGATACTGTGTGAATGTTTGATATTTTAGCTATTTTTTAAATGATTAAAAAAATAACCTAATAGCTCAACCGAGCTTGAAAATAGAGAATTGAGTTGTGAACTCGATTCGGGTTACTCGAGTCATCAACCCAAAATTTCATAATGGTCCTAAAGATTTTCCCAACGTAACCCGCTTTTACATTTGAACTAGTTAATGTATTTATTTTTTTAAAAAATCAATGTTCGAATTGAACTCAAAATGAAAATTTGAAAACGTTAAGGTACAAAATAATTAAATTTAAACAAAAAAATAAATAAATTGAGAGGTACAAAATAATTTTAATTTCTAATTTGAAGCTTATAAGCAAAAAAATAAATAAATAGTAAAGGACAAGAAGGACATTGTTGTAATTTCACAAGGCCCGAAAATTTGTTTGTCTGCATTTACGAATGAGGACATTATGACCTCATCCTCATATAAAAACCTTATATTAAAAAATTATTTTTGCTTCTCATTTGAATCTTTAACCCAAAATGTCGACACTCTCAATAATAATTAATTGCTTTTGTACTAAAAAATAATTAAAGTAATTAATTTCTTTTGTTTCTCTTTATCCCACCCCTCTAGTGTTTTTAATTTCATTTTAATGACTACTTTTTTTTTATATTTAATTTATTGACACAAAACATTAAAAATAATTAATATGATATTAAAATATACTTCCCGTTAAATTATATATTTTTTATTTAGACTTTAAAATTTGTATTTTACGGATCATTATATCAAAAATATATAATCCATCTAGTATCCATTCAATTTGTTTTTTTTTTAATTTTCAAGTTTAATCGTATATTCTTTTAAAAACCCGATTCATCCAAAAATAGAGTTATAATCCAACTCTATCGATTATTTAAAAATTAAGAATATTTAAAAATGCTCCATATAATTTTAATTATTAATGTAATATATATTATTATTTTTTAAAATAATAATAATAAAAACGAACCATTTGATAACCCAATTGAAAAATAAAGGGTTGAGATGTGCTGGATTCAATTGGTGAACTTTATTTAGGTTGCTGACTTCACCGATCCAAAAGATTTTCTTAATCCAACCCAACATAACTCATGTCCACCCGTAATTTGAAGGGAATAAAACTCACATCTTCATGGTCGAGAATTTTCTCTCCTTATTATCTCGAGCAGTATCCAATTAGATTTGTTTACCCATTGTTAATCTAGCATGTGTGGAACTTCACCTACTTTTCGTTTCTATGCCCGTCTATGATATCTCTTTCGTTCTTGTCTTTTGCTTCATTTATGGTTTTCTTGCTTGGTTTTTGAACTTTGTTATTTCGTTGGTGCCTCGACCTCAAGTTTGATTTTTTTTAAATAATAATAATTTAACGTGTGTAGAGTAAATATTTTAATTTAATGGGATAGGCAAGAAATTCACTACAAAATTTTAAAATGTATTCGTCTCAAATTTACGTAACGTTAAAAAATATCGACCCGTTAAAATGTTAGTATCTTAGTAGAAAAAATATGTTTGGGTTGTAATTGTTATAATTATAGAAAATGGAGTATAAATGTATTTTATGTTTTCAATATTGAAAAATTAAAAATCTATTTTAATTTAAATAATTATTTAATAATATTTCTACTTATAAATATCAATATAAACTATAATTAATTAGTTTATGAATATGTTTTATATTGTATATTTTATATAATTATGGAATA